TTATTTCACTTAAGAGTATTGCCTCAATGTGCATCCACTTAGCTATAAATGTCTCTAATTTCTCATTTTTTATGGCTGAGTAGTACTCCATTTGAGAGTCATATTTTCTATGGCGAGGGGCTCAGACTATGATTGGAGCATGGGACTTATGAGCAACTGAGAAATTGGCAAATTCATATCACCTATATCATGCTTACTCAAGACTATGTGCTTATCAGAAGTCAAGCAGAATTGCCAATACTATTTACACATAAATGGTCATTTTTCTTTCTATTATTGCTGAGCTTATTGTAGTTGAATTTGTGATAATTAGGTTTGTAAAGATACAACTCCATAGTATATGATTATTTTATTATGTTAAAAGTTCTAATAGGGCCGGGGATTTAGCTCAGGTGGTGCTTCCACCTGCCTCTCAAGCACAAGGTCCAAGTTAGATCCCTGGTACCAAAAAAAAAAGTTCTACCTGAATTTTTGTATGTTTTCATCTTTCAAATAAGAAAAAAGGATGCTATACTATATCATTCCTTTATTTTTTGCAGATAATGGATTCTGAATTAATGCATAGTATAGTAGGAAGCTATTTTAAACCTCCAGAAAGAGTATTTGTTCCACCATTTATCCAAGATGAAACGTCTCAGAAATGCCACCCTGTGAACTTAGAAGTTACTGCTCCTAAAATGCTTCATAGTCCAAATAGCCAAGGTAATGCTAATAAAAAAAAACTTTACACAAAACTAGAGGAATGGAACAAAGTATAAAAACTTGTGTTATTTATTTGTTTGTTTGTTCATTTATTTATTTAGTAGTACTGGGGACTGAACACAAGGCCTTCACACTGAGCTATGTCCCTGCCTGCCCCACTTCCCCCAACACCTTTTGTTTGAGATAGGGTCTCACTAAGTTGCTAGGTTGGGTTTGAACTTGCAATCCTTTTGCCTCAGCCATTTTTATGTAGAAAAAAATATGACTGTGTATTTAATTTCTATAAAACTCTTAACTTTTACTCTGTTCTGAAGTTCTATAAACTTAGACAACTTACTATTTTTTATTTTGGCTTCTTAATCTGTAAGATGACTATATAGCACGAGTTTATCATAAAAACACCAGTTAATGATTGAGGATAATTCAGTTGTAGATCGTGCCTAGCATGTTCAAGTCCCTGGCTTCAGTCCCCAGGACTACTGAGAGAGGAGAGGGAGAAGGAGGGGAAGAAAGAAGAGAAGAAAGAGAAGGAGGAGGAGAAGCATAATTTATAAAACAAAATACAGTACTCTTTAAAGAATAAAAGGTCAGATTTGGAATCTTTCTAAACTACTTGATTAGAATGCTAGTGAATTAAATAGTGGTGTGTGCTAGTCCATGATTAGATTCAGAAATTGCATATATCCAAAATTATCCTTTAAAATTATTTTAGAAGTTATTATTTCCAAGTAACTACACAATATGAGTATTGTAACTTTTTTAATGTGAACTTAGGAAGATCTTAAAATTGAATTAGGAAAATATTTATCACTCCAGGCATACCTTATGCTATATAAATTACCTTATAAGATACTGATTGCCGCCTTCTTTTTAAAAATTCTCTAATAATGGTTGCCATTAATAAATAGATTAGCTTTGTAGAGAAAATGACAAGAAATAATAAATCAATGAGCCAGCTACATGTACCATAAGGACAAAATAAGTATAACTTTTTAATCTCATTTGTAAAAAAATGATAACTTCTAGCAAATATCTTTCTAACGGAATATAAACTATATAAAAATTAACTTAAAACATTTATATTCTACTCATCAGTAATTTTATAGTTTGACATTATAACTAAATAAGTATAAAATAATATTTGAAAATTTTATAACTCATGAGATATGTTAGAGGAAATTTATCCCCCTTTGGAGTTTTAGTTATATTTTTTGAAGAATATACATGACTTGCATATTTTTCTAACCACTAGCAAAAAATTTTTTATGTTATTCTATGTTACTGTGATTACAGATTTTCAAAAACTTTCACTTAAAACATGAAGTAAATTTTCTTTTTCTCAACAGCTCTTACTTGGGCCTTACAAACTCTTCAGGAAAAGATTCATCGTTTAGAGCTTGAGAGAACACAAGCTGAAGATAACCTGAACATACTTTCTAGAGAAGCGGCTCAGTACAAAAAGGCCTTGGAAAATGAAACAAATGAGAGGAATCTGGCACACCAGGAACTGATAAAGCAGAAGAAAGGTAAGCAATGCAGTAGTTCTCAGAAGTGGGGGGGAGGGATATCAAAGTTTACAATTTGAAAATAATAAACCCAGTCTAGGCAGATTTATTCAAATATCTTTGTTATTGTATACATTGAAACTTTGAGGACTTATTCTCAGATATTTTAATATTTGCGGGAAGTTAATGTAACTTTGAACTTATCTCTATTGTATCTGTTATCCAAGTTCAGAAATTCTTGAGATTAAAAGAAAATATTTTTAGATAAGTTGTGTTTAGAAATTAGAATATTTTCGGAATAACCAAGTTTAGCATATAATTTAAATGCTTTATACTTTCAGTTAACACTAATTTTTAAAATTTAAAATATAAACCAACAGTAGTAATTAAACAAAATGAATGAAAAATAATTTTCTTTAACATAAAAGGAAAACAAGATTAATTAGAACAAATAGGCAAGCAAGTAGAGACTTCTGTGGAAATTATGAAAAGGATTTAAGACACAAGGGTTTTGGAAATTTAGAATGTAAGTTTTTTAAATAATTTAACTTCACCACTATAGTTTTTTTCTTTGTAACACTACACTCATTCCTATAAACAAAGTTCAAATTTGTGTTTCACCTTACAAATAGAGAAGAATGGAGAAAAAAATTGTCTGAGGCACCAGGAGAAAAGTAGAAGAAAGGAGGGAAGGGAGCTCCAGTGGCACAATCAGTTAGCATGTAGTACTTATACAGGGAGAAAGGAGGGAAAAAAAAAGTTAAAAAATTAAAAATGGGTTGCTTACTTCTTATGAATTAACTGTATGGTTAGTAATCAAAGCAGAGGAAAATAGGAGTAGCAGAGAGTGTATTCCTGTGTTTCTTGGAAGAGAAGAAGCTTATTGATAACTAAGGGACTTTACATCTTCTGTTTCTATAGATGGTAGTTATTTATCATCCCAAAAGTCACTGGCATCCTCCCCTTTCAGAAGTATGCCTTACAGGTTTTTAGGAGAAGACAGAAGACAGTGTTAAACCAGTTACAACAAAAAATGAGATATTCACAGAATGTGTGTTTAAAGTCAGTACTTACAGGCTATTGTGGCTTTCCTCATGATAGCCCACCCTGTATCCTCCAGGGTGTACTTTTATCTTGCTTTTTCCTGTTTTGCTCAGCCTAAGCTTGTTCCCCAGAGCCAGTTTCTTCTTTACTCTTCACTTTTACTTTTTCAAATAAACGTTGCTACCATTAAAAAATAAAATAAAGAGAGCAGCCCAAGATGGCGGACTTCGAGGATCGTGTGTCAGATGAGGAGAAGGTACGCATAGCTGCTAAATTTATCACTCATGCACCTCCAGGGGAGTTTAATGAAGTATTCGATGATGTCTGGCTACTACTTAACAATGACAGTCTCCTCAGGGAAAGGGCAGCTCATGTATTTGCCCAGTATAACATGGATCAGTTCACACCTGTGAAGATAGGAGGATATGAAAATCAGGTTTTAATTACAGAGCATGGTGATCTGGGTAATAGCAGATTTTTAGATCCAAGAAACAAAGTTTCCTTTAAGTTTGATCACTTACGGAAAGAAGCAAGTGACCCCCAGCCACAGGAAATAGATGGAAGTTTGAAGTCTTGGAGAGAATCCTGTGACAGTGCTTTAAGAGCCTATGTAAAAGATCATTATTCCAACGGCTTCTGTACTGTATATGGTAAAACTATAGATGGGCAACAGACTATTATTGCATGTATTGAAAGCCACAAGTTCCAGCCTGAAAATTTCTGGAATGGCCATTGGAGATCAGAGTGGAAGTTCACCATCACTCCATCTACAGCCCAGGTAGTTGGAGTGCTCAAGATCCAGGTTCACTATTATGAAGATGGTAATGTTCAATTGGTTAGTCATAAAGATGTGCAAGATTCAATAAATGTTTCAAATGAAGTCCAAACTGCAAAGGAGTTTATTAAAATCATAGAGAATGCAGAAAATGAGTATCAGACAGTGATTAGTGAAAACTGTCAAACAATGTCAGACACCATGTTCAAGGCCTTGTGCCGGCAGCTTCCAGTTACCCGCACAAAAATCGACTGGAACAAGATAGTTACAAGAGCAGTAAAGAAATGCAGAATGCTTAAAGGCTGACTGTAGGATTCTTAAGTATGTGGAACGAAAATGATTCAACACATGGTCATATGATAAGTGATTTATAAACAAAAGTGATATTTTGCTAGGGCTTTCAAAGTTAACAGATTTTCTAGCCTCATAGAATACTGTTGAACCTATAGCATTGTCTTGACCTTGTGTTCTCTGCCTTGTAATTTTCTGTTATTACTATATCTACTTGTAAATCTTTTTTTTTTCTATCTTTTTTGTTGAAAAGAGTGATCTATCTTGGAGTCATTTTACTATTTAGAAAACTTTCCTAGCCATGAAGTCCTGTTACTGTTTAGATAATATGTTCAGTACTTTTTTACCCCTATGCTTCAAAGCACTTCTGGTATTTCAATGGTTTTTACTGATCCAACAGCCAAAGAGGCTGTGCTACAAACCAGCTAAATGGAAGATACATTCATTCTTCTCCCTCTGACTGCTTTGATCATCAGTTGTAACATCTCATAACTGTTATTTTTTTAAACTTTGCATTGGGGCCTTTTGGGTCCATTTGGCAGGGCCAAAATAAGCGTTCTGGAAATTCCATGATAGTCAGCTTTTCTGGGGGAACTTGTTTTTTAATCCAAAGACTTGAACCACATTCCCTGCACATGAACGTGTTTGCTTTTCTGGAGAGGAGGGATATCTCTCATGGTCTTCCCTATTGTAGGTATCGACACCTGCATTTTTAGAAGAATTTTACCCATTTACATTTTTGTTTTTCTGTTTTGTTTTTTGGGGTTTTTTTAGAACTGCTGACATACTGTGGATGTAGTACAACTTGAAAAATGCAGTGTTGAAGGAATCACGCATATCTTGTCCTTTAATACTTTGTGGCAGGATTGTACTATAAGCAAATGAGTCAAACAGCTCTATAAATCACAAAAACTAAAACTAAACCAAAGTGAAAAAAGTAACTTCCAGGCAGTATCTCTCTGTTGTAACCTGTTATTTAAGGGAACACTAGAGTTTTCTAAATAGGATGTAAAATTTGTTCCAAATTACTCTTCCTTAGTCCTGCCTACCAAGAACTCAAAAGTAACTGTGATATAGCAACCCTTCCTAGGTATATTGACAGGTAAATGTGTGATCTCAGAATACACAGGTGACAGAGATATGATAGGACAACTGATAATGCTGGATTCATTTACATTGTTTACACTTCTATGACCAGGCCTTAAAGGGAGGTCAGTTTTTTTAAAAACCAAGTAGTGTCTTCCTACCTGTCTCCAGATACATGTTAAAAAAAGAAGGCTGTTTATGCTTCAGCTTTGTTTTGCTCAATAATAAAAGTCATGCAAGAGTTTGTTTCTAAGTGAAAGCTGTGTTAGCATTTTTTGTTTATTTCAAATAAAATATATTTGTATTATTTGTCATTCATACTATCCATCCATCATACCACACTATCTTCTGTATCAGGTAGTCCAATAGAAATATACCTGTTTTGTTCTATAAAATAAAAAAAAATAAATAAAGTCAAGACTTACAGATAAAAGAAGCTTGAACTCTAAGCTCTTAATTGAATTTTCATAATGCATTTCTTATAACTTTACTGTATCTCTATGTGATAAACAATTAACTGAATCATTATTTTGTCTTTTTCGTAGATATAAGTATACAGTTAAGCTCAGCCCAGTCTCGTTGTACTCTTCTAGAGAAACAACTAGAATATACAAAGAGAATGGTTCTCAATGTAGAACGAGAAAAAAATATGATACTAGAACAACAGGTGAGCATATTTTCTATAAGGAATGATAATATAATTTTATATGTTTTTAAAGATTACTTAATATGAGAAAATTGTAAACTAGGATATAAAGCTATGTATAGGAAATTTCCACTTACATTACTGATGGACTATATCATTTATACCAACTTTTTTGCAAAGAAAAACTGGACATAATTTAAAAAAAGAAGAAATGAAAAAACAAAAGATACACAAAGGCATTGGAGAACTAATAAGTCAGTGAAAAGTGACCAATTCAAAATCTTTGTACACACTTAAATCCAAAGAGTTTGGCTTGACATTTCAGACGCCTTCTGAGGGCATTTAGAATTCCAGAAGAGAGAGTTGAGAGGCTAAATAGTACTGCTGGCAGCCATCTTTCTGAGGCTAAGAAAATTAAAATTAGAGTACAGGTCCTACCAAGAATAATAGCAAATCTTGTGTTCTGAATGCTTTGAAAGGGTGAGCAAGAAGGAAACCAATCCAGATTACAACCCTATTTCATGTTATCAGGGTGGCCTCAAAAACCTGAAAAACCCTGAAATTGGATTAAAATGATCCTGTAGTACTAGCATTCTCAGGGACCTTAAATTGTTTCTACAAATATTGCTTCAACATAGTGAGTAGCTTTTGATCAAATATAATGAGGCAGAAGAAGGTAAGAATTAATGAACAAGAAACAGCATCCACAACAAACTCTACAAACTAGCTTCAGCTAGTATTGGCTGTAAGAAACACTGACTTTAAAATAATCATGCTTGCATTAGTGAAGAAGATAAAAGACGGGATGGCATTTTTCAGTTGAGTATTAGAATCCTTAAAAATGGCAAAGCAAATTTGAGAAAGAATCGAATAAAAATTGTAGAACTGAAAAAAATATAGTAACTGAAATTTAGAACTCAGTGGATAGATGTAACAGCAGATTAGAAAAGACAATTAAATGGAAGTAGAAACCATTCATATTAATGAAAAGACAAAATTATAGTAAATTCAGAAAACAGTAAGAAGCATCATTTCAGAGTGAGAAAGTCTGAGTTAGTGTACTTGGAATTTCAAAGGGAAGGGAGGAGAATGAAACAGAATCAACATACAAAGAAGTAATAGGTAAGAGTTTTCCCAAATTGATTAAAAAATAAAATCATACCACACATTCAAGAAGCTCCATAAAATCAAGCAAAATAAATATGAACAAAGATAAACATAGATACCTCATAATAAAATAAATAATAAGACAAAAAAATCAGCCAGAAAAAATTATTACATTCAAAGAAACAATTAAAGTGATAGCTGACTTCTCAACTGACAGTACTGAATCCAGAAGACAGAAGCTGATAAAAGTTAAGATATTAAAAGAAAATAAATACTGACCTAGAATTCTCTGCCTGGTGGAAATATCTTTAAAAGAACAAAATTGGAATACTCATATAACTTGATTTTAAGACTTCTTATAAACCCAGATAGTCTTGGTATAAGGAGAGACCCGTAATAGAGAGTAACAGAAATAGATCCTACTCATATAATCAACTATATTTGATTGACAAATGTGCCAAAACAATTTAGTAGAGAAAAGGAAGGTCTTTTAATAAATGTGCTGGAACAACTGGACATCCACATAGATAAAATTTAACCTTGAACATGTTCTCTCACCATACAAAAATTAACTCCAGAGGAATGACAGGCCTAAATAGAAAAATGAAAACTAAAAGCTTATAGAAGAAAGTGTTTTAGAAAATAATTTGGTAGTTTCTTACAAAGTTAAATATTCATCTGTTATGGTTCAGCAATTTTACTCCTGGATATTTACTGAAGGAAAATTAAAACATGTCCATAAAACATTTTTGCAAATGTTCATAATAGCCCTATTTGTAATGTTCCTAAGAGCTGGACATAGTGTTGCACACCACTAGTGTGCTGATGGAATTTGAGGGGTTGATGGAATTTATAGAGAGAAACAAAGATCCAAGAATCACCAACCTGTTCTGAAGAAGAAAAAGGTAAGGATCTTGTTCTACTAGATCCCATCCACCTATCACTTTATAATTTTATTGATTTTTTAAGGTAAAATTTGTTTTCGGTTTTTCAGGGTTTTTTGTTCACTTTCTATTTCATTGATTCCAATTTTATTTCTTCCTTTCTGTTTATATAAGGCTTAACTTGCTCTTTTTTTTGTAGGGAATGTATATATTTTTATTTTTATTTTTTATTTTTCATTAGTATATGTTTGCAGTACAAAATGATTATATTGTTTGTGGGGAGTTGGTACATGTACATAACACATCTTAATTCTTTTTTCATTCCCTTCGCCTGTCTTCCTGCTCCCTCTCCATCCTTTGATCCCCTTCCCTTTTAAAAAGATCTATTTCCCTACTTCTCATTCTTCTCATCTTTTATTTTGGTCTTTATTTATGTTTTGGGTTTTTCATATAGAAACCATGCTATTTGCTCTTTTTTCTTCATAGATTTATTTATTTGTTTGTTTGCCATACACACTGATCACATTCATCGTGGGGAATTTATACCTTTGCATAATATATCTTAATTCTTTTTTTCTCCCATTCCCCTTACCTCCCTTCAGCCCTTTTCCCCCTCCCAATTTGCAAAAGCTCTGTTTCCATTTTTCCCTTCAATTTTCTCTTTTAAATCCCTTTTTCCTTCCTTCTCACCCTCCCACCCTTTTCCCCTTCACATTTGAACAAGTTCTTCCTACTTCCCTGTATCTATCCTCTATTTTGTTCCATATTTACACTTTCGAGCAAATAATGGAATATTTAAACTTGTGTGTCTGATTTATTTCACTTAAGATTAGGGTCTTGAGATGCATCTGTTTACCTGAAAAGTCTCTCATTTACCCTTCTGTATGGCAGAGTGGTACCCTATTGTATATAAATACCACATTTTCTTTCTCCATTCGTCTGTTGATGTGCATATGGTCTGTTTCCAAGGTTTAGCTATTCTAAATTGTGCTGCTGTAAATGTGGGTATGCATGTATCACTGTGGTATGATGACTTTGACTCTTTCAGGAAGATACTTAGAAGGGGAATAGCTGGATCAAATGAAACTTCTAGTTTTGATTTTTTGAGGAATCTCCATACTGATTTCCATAGTGGTTGTACAAATTTACTCTCCCATCAGTACTGGAGAAGGGTTCCTTTTTCCCCACAGCCTCATCAGCATTTGTTATTGATTGGCTTCTGTAGTGAGGTAGAATTTCAGTATTGTTTTTATTTGCATTTCTTGAATGACCGTTGATGTTGAACATTTTTTCATGTATTTATTTGCTGTTTGTACTTATTTGCCTGTGCCATTTTTGGATTGGGTCTTTAAATTTGGGGGCTCTGATTTTGTTTTGAGTTCTTTATATATTCTACTGAGGAATAACTGGCAAAATTTTTTTCCCATTCTGTAGTTTGTCTCCACTTTGTTGGTGGTTTCTTTTGCTGTGCAAAAACTTTTTAATTTGATGTGATCCCACTTGTTGATTCTTTGTAATATTTTCTGTGTAGTTGGGGTTTTGTTCATAAAGTCTCCCTACACCTATGTCTTCAAGAGTTTTACCTCTTCTGTCTTCCAGCAGATTGTTTCTGTTTTAATATTTAGATCTTTGATCCATTTCAATTTTAGTTTAGTAAATGGTGAGAGATATGGGTCTAGATTCAGTCTTTGGCACATGGAAAGCCACTTTTCCAGCACCATTTGTTAAAGAGGCTTTTTTCCAGTAAAGGTGTTTGGCCACTTTGTCAAAGTTAAGGTAGCTAAGTGTGCTTGGAGTTGTTTCTCCGTCTTCTATTCTGTTCCATTGATCCTCAAGTCTGGTAGTTTTCGTTGTTGTTGATTTTTTTTCCCCAATACTATGCTGTTTTTATCACTGTAGCTTTGTAGTATAGCTTCAAGTCAGGAATTTTGATGCCCCCTGCCTTGCCTTTGTGGTCCAGAATTGCTTTTGCTATTCTACATCTCTTTTGGCTCCATATGAATTTTAGGATTGTTTTCTCTGGTTCTGTGAGGAATGATATTGGTATTTTGATTAGAATTGCATTAAATCTGAGTTATAGTTTTGGAAGTATGGCTATGTTCACTATATTGGTTCTGCCTATCCAAGAACAGGGGATATTTTTCCATTTTCTGATACCCTCTTTGATCTTCTTTTTCAGAGTACTGTAGTTTTCATTGTAGAGATCTTTCACTTCCTTGCTTAGATTGATTCCTAAGTATTTCATTTTTCTTGATGCTATTGTGAAAGGGGTTATTTCCCTAATTTCTCTCTCAGTGAATTTGTTGTTGGTCTACAGGAATGCTGTTGTTTTTTGAGTATCCTGCTATATTACCAAATTTGGTTATTAATTCTAGGACTCTTTTGGTGGAGTTTTTGCAGTTTTCTATATAGAGTCATGTCATCAGCAAATAATGATAATTTAATAACTTTCTTTCTTACCCTTATTCCTTTTATTTCTTTCTCTTGTCTAATTGCTCTGGCTAATGTTCCCAGAACATATATTGAACAGGAGTGGTGATAGTGGGCATCCTTGTCTTGTTCCTGATTTTAGAGTGAAAGCTTTCAGTTTTTGTCTATTTAGTATGAGTTTGGCTGCTGTCATAGATGGCTTTTATTAGATTGAGATAAAGACCATCTATCCCAGTTTTCTTTAGGGTCTTTATCGTGAATGGATGTTGGACTTTTTTCGGCATCCTTTGAGACAATCATGTGGGTTTTGTCCATGGTTCTGTTAATCTGGTATACTCCATTTATTGATTTGTGTATGTTAAACCATCCCTGCGTCCCTGGGATAAATCCTACTTGGTCATGGTGTATAATCTTTTAGATTATTTGCTGCATTCTGTTTGCCAGTATTTTATTGAGGATTTTTGCATCTATGTTCATTAAAGAGATTGGCCTGTTGTTCTCTTTTTAACTTGAGTACTTTTTGGATTTTGGTATCAGAGGAATGCTTGCTTCCAGGAATGAGTTTGGGAGTGTTGCTTCCCTTTCAGTTTCATTAAAGAA